TTATTGGTTTTGTGAATGGATTAATCCTAGACAGGAACTTACTTGGAGTATAATAACTTGTATTTGTCAAATATTATAATATCGTTAGAAGTTACATATTAAAAAGTTTTGTATTACAATAAATGAACTATATTAGCCAAATGTAGCTTTAGCTGAAGACACTAAATTTTTATTAATAGATAACTTTTACCTGAATCAATTTGTATAATTCATTCACTTTTATTTAATTATTTATTGGGAAGTAATACATTAACTCTTCAGTAATAGAAGTTAGGTGATTAATAATGGTGCTTTTCACAAAAGAACATTACTATATATTTTTTGTTTTGTAAACAAAATTCTCTATATTATGTAATGTAACAAAAAGGTCATATTATCTGTAGCCTTTTTGTACATATTCATATTATTAATATGCACGATTTCAAGTGTAAAGAAAGTAATGAATTTTTCTGAAATTTTTCTACCACCATAAAGCTGTCTTGCAAAATTTTTTATGTTTGAAACTGAAATTTTTATGTTTTATGTTTTATCTTTGAATAAAATTGCTTTTTTAGCCTTTTTTTCAATTGTTCAGTGTTACAGGCATATGATAATAGGTAATGAATCCTCTCTTAAATAACTACCCATAGACATAGACATTCTGAGTCTTCTTTTGAAGAATCATTTCAGGGAGGTGATAGTCATTAGTAATGTTTATTTGTATATTAGAAGTCTATTTTTTAGAAGTAGTGACCAAAACAAGATTAACAGTTTTTCATTTTATCCATTCAGTTCAATTTGAAATAGACTGTATGCTTTTGCCATATTCTATCTTGATTAACATAACAGTTTTTAGCTGTGTGTAACATTTTTAATGTTAAGTTTATGTAGAATGTGGTGAAAAAATATTCAAACTGGAATCCTGCTTCCAGAATACTACAGAACAATATAAACAAAGTATTTAAATTATATAAATGGCTTAAACATAGATTTGTTTTCACACATGAAAAGTATAAAATTGTACTTTTAGTTTATTTCCCCATTTATGCTAATTTCTGATAATCTGTTGTTATTGCTCAGTTGGTTACTAGATGTGGGATAATAATTGCTCCTTTTTTTTTATTCATCCATTTTTATTTTTTAAATTCCCTTGCTCTTTAGTTGATATTTTGCCGTGCTTTTTCTTATTCCATACTGAGACAAATTTAAAATTCTAAAAAATTTAGTGATAATATCATTATTTTACACTGGAGTGCAAAACTTAAGCAACAATGTAGATTTTAATCAGATAGCTATTAAATTGTAGAAAAGGGGTTCTTGTGTTCAGTACAATGACAACGCAATTCAGTAGAAAGGTCATGCATATGCAAATGTCAAGAAAAAACGTCACAGGCTAGGTGAGCGTACGCAAAACACGTATGGTCGGCGCACCCAACTCGAGACTACCGTAAAAGGAAGGATAGAGATGCAATTAAAGACATTCGCTGCAAGTACAAGAAGTTCTTTCATGAAATATTGGCTAGAAAAAATTATCTGGATGACTTCACACGTGGAAGAATGATAAAAAATCTGGAGTAGGGACGAAGTGTGACCAGTATAGCTGAAGAGTTCGGAATCAACAAAAGTGTCATTTTGCGCGCTTGGAAAGCCTTACAAACGATAGGTATGGCTGTTAGAAAGGTTGGAGGTGGCTGCCCAAGGAAAACAACTGTAGTGGATGACCGATGTATTGTCCTGCAGGCGAAAAGAGCCCGAAACAAGTCACCAAACTCCATAGTTCAACAACTGTATACAGCAACGGAGTGACAAGTGTCACAATTTACTGTGTCCAGACACCTTCACAAAGGTGGCTTATTCGCCTGCCATCCTGAACGCTGCATCCCTTTGAAAGTTAGCTATTGGCGCCACCGTTTACAGTGGTACAAGAAGCGCAAAAACTGGGCATCTCATCAATAGAGTCATATCCTCTTTATGAATGAGAGTCGTTTTAGTGTCACAAGTGATTCTCAACACAAATTGATTTGGAGAGAGGTCGGATATGGTTTAATCTCTTTAACATCACAGAAAGAGACCGTTATGGTGTCCTGAAGATCTCGTCTGGAGAGGCATTATGCTGAACAGGCGGACAGAGCTCCATGTTTTCAACAGAAATTCTGTAACCGGAGATCGCTATTGTCAGGAGGTGATCCTTCCCCCATGTACGTCTGTTTTGAGGTGCCATTGATGCAGACTTCGTTTTTATGGATAATAATGCACGGCCACACCAGACTCCTGCTGTTCAGAAGCTACTGAAAAGTGAAGATATCACTCAAATGGATTGGATAGGGTGCTCCCCTGATTTAAATCCTGTAGAACATGTGTTGGATGCTTTGGGGAGATGCCTTGTGGCACAATTACATCCTCTGGGGAACACCCAGCAACTGAAACAGATGCTGATTGAGGAATGGCCACTCTTACCTCAAGATCTGTTGGACAATCTGGTGTTGAGTATGGAGAGACCGTTCGAAGCAACCATTGCAGTAAGGGGAGGGCATATCCCATAGTAAAGAACATCTGCTTGTTGTTCTTCCTCTTGTACAGACAATCACATATAACGATACTATGAGTTCAATAAAGCCTATTTTTGTTTGATTTCATACTGTATGCATTGTATTCATTTGTAGCGCAATTATGCTTTCATCATTGTTTAAATACAAAATACTGTCTCTTAATTCTGAATTTCATGTCTCTCAGATGATTTCTCGTGGAGTTATGCAAAAAAGAACACCCGTTGCTTAAGTTTTGCACACCAGTGTACTAATCTTTATGATGTAAACAGAAGATATATTTTGTAATTTTTTTAAGTTATTTCATTCTTTTTTGTTTTTTATTTATCTATTATATTTTTGACATGTTTATTACTGCTTGTTTTAAATGTCAAATGAATTTTTTTAGGGGCTGATATAGCAAATGTTTGTAATGAAGCTGCCTTGATTGCAGCCAGAGATTTAAATGAAACAATACAGATGAACCATTTTGAACAAGCCATTGAAAGAGTTGTTGCCGGTATTTCTGTTTACATATTAAGCTGTTTTAACTATGTATATGCTACCTAAAATTCTGGAATTATGAATTATTATACTTATTAATGTTATTAATAGTATAATTATACCATGTTACATTATATTTATCCATTTTTTCCCACTTGTAGCTTGAGTAAATGTTATCATTAAAAAAGTCTGAAAATAATTTCCAAATTTAACCCTTTGACGTGCGCGATATTATTTTTATAATTTTTTAACTAAAAACTCTAGAAATTGAATATTATGATCCTAGAGACAAATAATATATGAATTTAAAAAAATCTACTCTTGCCCATTGTTCTGTGGGTGGTGGTCGCACTGCGAAACCACTGCGCGTCTAGGACTTTGAAATTTACCGAGGTTGTAGGGGGGGGGACTTACCTTTCTACGTGCACGTTTCCAATAAATTATGAAATTTATGAATTTTAAAAAAATTTTGTAAGAATTGCATGTATATAATTTTTTTACATTATTTTACAAAGTAAATCATCAAAAAAATTATAAAAATAAACATTTATGTAATTCTTCTATAGGGGTGAAAATATAAGTACCTACATAATAGGGATGTTTGGCTAAATGTATAAAAAACTCAGTAAAATAAGGGGGAAAAGACTTAATGTTTTTTCTTTTTTAAATTTCAAAGAACGATTATTTTTTTGGGGGGGGGTTAACACTGTTCAAAGCATGTTTTGTCTTTTTGGTACATGCATAGACCCACATCGCACGTCTCGCACATATATCTTCTATGAGGTTTCTTCCTTGTGCTACAAAATGTACACTGTCTGGATCTAAATTTCACTGGTATATGTCCAGCATTATTTAGTTTCTTTTCATCTGGCACATGAAATTTGTGTTTTTTTATGTTAATGAGGGGGGCATGGTCTTTTTGGCTTTGGTACGGATTCGGTACATTTGGCTTCGGTACATTTGTTTTCCATTCATATTTATTTGATTCGTATTTCTTCCCAAAATATTCAAAAAATATTTAAAATTTAAAAACAACTTTAAGCGATTCCTATTTTTAATTATAGCAAAGTATATTTACATTAAATTTCAATCATAGGAAATAATTTATAAAACCACAATACTAACTTGGGGAGCAAGTGTGTTGAGGTCATAGAAAATTCTCTGGAAAAGAAAGACCTTTTTACTGGGCAAGTGCATGTATTGTTTAGTAATAAAATAACTCTGTGGTTTCAAAACCCCTTATCTATATCCTGGTAAAAATAAACATTCCTATTTGAGAAGCAAGCAAACGCCATTGCGAAAAGCACTGGTTTCAACGCGCGACCACCGAGCTCTAGAGCATTGTGATCATTGTGACACAATGCTCTAGTGTGGCAGTGGTCGCACTCTGAAACTACAAAGCAAGTGCCTTATATAGAGAGGGTTTTTTTTAATATATGCAATTTAATTATTGCTATTTTTTATTGTTTATGATAGAAACCATGATGTGCGATGAATAACTTTTTAAATTTAAAGTTTTTTTATATTAATAAAAAGGAAGTTATTTTGTCTCATTGAAAACGAATTTTAAAAGGCATCTGATTTGAAGTACTAAGACCTAAAACATGTATGATTCTGCAGTTATTTTGTGTTATTTAGAGGTAAAAGATCAGTAATCAATCGATTTTCATTCAAAAATTTCGGAAAGAAGAGAAAAAGATTCAAAAATTGGTGGTTTCAAAGCGCGACCACCGCGCGTCAAAGTGGAACAGCTTTTTAAATCTGCTTATGAAGAACTGTATTTAAGCAGCATTTGTTTGCTAAATTTGTGTAATTGTAATTAATTATTTTAATCTCTATTTTCATAAACTTTCATTCATAAAAGTAACATCTGAACCATGAAAAAAAATAAGAAAACAAAATATTTTGAATAATAAAGTAATATACATCAAATGACAAAAGAAATCTCATGATGGTAAAAGCAGTCATCCTACACAGATGGTTAAAAGATAGGAATTTTTATCTTCTTCAATGTTTAGAACTATTAAAATGACATGATTTCTTAAAACCACATATTCTGGTTTAATTTTTATAACATCTATAAAAAATTAAAGTTGTATAAGAGTATTTTTAGAATTTGTTTTCACATTTGAAAACTTATTAATTATAATTAATTGATCAGAGATTATTTGATTATCTCAAGAATTAGATTTATCTATCTGCGAGGAAAAGTGTCTTAATCTTAAACATGAAAATTTCATACAGCTAGTTCTTAAATAAAATTCATGCCAATCTGTATTATGGCCAGCATTTGAATAAAATCTTACATAAATTTTAAGAATATGTTTCCATTTCAAAATCAGGCAGAATTCAATTTTTATATTAAGACTAGTTTTATAGAGGGTTTTTTTTTTTCCTCCATTTCATTTTAAAGAATGCAAACATAAGCCTCTCTAACTCTCTCTCTCTCTCTCTCTCTGTGTGTGTGTTTTTTTTAATCAAGGAACAAAAATATATGTTTTTATATTAGAAAGCTGTATATGGAAATTCCCTGTTAAGTATTAATGAATTTATTTAAACATAAAATTTAATTTTTTGAACATAATATTTTAATGAATTAACTTATTAAAGGGAATATTTCTTATAATTTCTTTTAGGAATATTTTGGGGGTAAAGGAGCCATTAATTATTTATCACATTTTTTTTCTTACTTTTTATCTCTTGTGTATATATTATACATATTCATAAAATTTCTCATAAAAAAGTTGAAAGCACTGTAAAAGATCTTGTGTCAAACATCATAGCTGAAAAATTTATCAATTTTCTATTCGGGATAGGAATTCCAGCTTTCAATTAATTTCCAGAACACCACGTGTTTTCTTTCAGTTGATAATATATAATTGTTCTCCTGCTATTAGTCTGTACTTCGAGATTTCTAAGGCAATTCAGTTGAAAGTTAAAAGGAATCTTAATTAAATAAGAACTAACTTAAGGTGAAATCTTATTTACAGTATTGTAAAAATAAACTGCAATATTTATAAAGATAAATTAATATTATTAATTTGAACATTTCTAACTGAGAAAATTTTCTGAGATGCAGATATCATCTCAATCTCTTCTTTGATTCACTAATGGCAATTATATGTGTAAAAAGATCACTTCAATTACATAAAGTATTTATAAGAGTTGTAAATAATTTTAATTATAATATTTCTTTACATTATTATTTTCTGTATGCAGCATAGTGTCCTTTTTGTTTTATGTATCTGAGACAAGAGTCTCACTCACCTCATCCTTATCTTTTCCTAATAGCATTAAATTATTCTGGAGTTATTTGTGGTATATATATATATATTTTTTGGCCAATGTTTTCAATAGTGATTTTTTATATTTTTTTAGTCCTAGTAGCAAAGGATATGTAGTTCAGTTTTTATTCAATAATTTATATATAGCTCAGTTTAGTTTAAGATGAGTTATAATTATATTTTAAATATTACAGTATATTTTATGTATGTGTTTGATACTGGAGGTTTTACAACACCAATTTAAAATATCTGTAAGTTTCTTCCATATTAATGACATGAGCTAATGATCAGAATTTATTTCCATTTTTAGGGTGTATGTACAGTATTGAAAAATTTATATATAGTATTTAATTTTTATACTTGCTAATATTTTTATTGATTTTCTTGTTTAATTTGATATGGCAGCATTTTTAAGCTGCCATTTGAAATTTTACCCAAACCCACCAATTCTGTCTTAAGTTACTGTTGAACAGGGTTGGTAGCGGTCCTTATAAGTGCTTATAAGTCATTATATTTGAAAATAAAATATAAAAGCCCTTATAGGTGCTTACTTTTTCTTTAAAGCTTTATGTTTTTGTTTTTAGTGCTTATTTTTTGCTTTTAGTGCTTTTTTTTTTTAATGAGCGTGCTATTTTTCCCCGTACCAAAGCCAAAACTAAATGAACAACTTTTCTTCCTAATATGGAATGTCAGATGGTGAATCATGCTCCCGGAAATAGCTTTTCCCCTTTCTCTGCATTAACATAACCTTTGGTGTGCACGAAGAGTACGGACAGGTGCCCGTCGTTCTATTGGTCAAAGAATTGTGAAAGCAGTAGAAAATTCCGGTACATTGGGCATTCTTTTCCTCCTACTCAAATACTTAACACGTTTGAATTTCTATCAAGATCTTAATAATTTGCATTCTCGTTCCGCTTGGTCAGTTCATATTTCATGTTTATTATGATCGTTATGCTTATATTATGAGCATATGTATGAATGTTTATAATAACATAGTTGCAATAACTGCTGAAGTATAGTAAACTTCCAAAAATGGTTGTGTTTTAACACAGATGAGCTTTCTAAGGAATAATATTTGGAATGGCTTAAATAAAGGGAAAGTAATCGAATAGTCAAAATAATTTCATTTTTTGGCCAATACATTATACACTACAAAGAGTGGGAGGTTCTCCCCTTTCTCCGCAAAATCTCGAATATTTAAACTGTTAAAGTTTGCTGCAAAGCAAGCAACGGATTTTTTGAGGGGGTCACTTTCCAATCTGGATTGAATAGGACTTAGGACTAAAAGTTCTGCGGTCTACCAACCCAAGCGAAGAACAATTCTATTCCGGAAATTTAATGTCGTCTGTTGAAAATTAGAATGAAAAAAACCCCAGTTATTTAGTTCTTTATTCTCCCAATACAGCCAGCTGTTGATTCCGATTGCGTAATATCACGTAGGGAAGAATTATGGTGCACGTATTGCACAATAACGTTTGCAATATTTTTCAGAGATAATTAATTTTGATGTTCTGTCCAAGATTTGTTTATGAACACTTAAAAGAGTTTTACTGTGCTTGCTAAGCAGAATATATTTCAGTTCCATTGGTTTATTTTTATATGATGCGCATATCAAAATGTCAAAAGCATTTATTTAGCGGAAAAATTTAAAGAGAGGCTACAGTCTAACCCCCCTCCACTCCTCTTTTTCAAGTTATGCTCAACTGTCTGAATATTCACCAATTTCCTAGTATGCGGGTTAGTTAAGCTTTTGCTGTTAAAGGATGACTGCATGAAGCAAATTTCTGTCTTCTGATTTCAGAAATGTTCCCCTTTTTTACTTAAATTACTTTGCTCTCAATATCTGTTAAGGGAAAACTGATATACAATGAAAATTATAAAATGTTCAGAATTTAGATTTAAATTATTTGAATATCAATATGAGTGGAAAAATTAATTGTATTTATTATTAGGTTCCAAGCAAATACAATAAATATCCCTTATTATTATTTATTTTCTCTATTTTGAACTGAAATTTCATCATTAAATCATGTAATATAGTTTAGTTCTGCATAGTTTTTTTTTCTCTCATTGTAAACTAGTTATGTAAATTGAACTGTTATTTAAAATTTAAAAAAAAAAAAAAGTAATTATTTTCCATGGTTGAGGTAATGCTTATTCTCTCTTAATAAATACTGCATTTCTCATATTTTAAATTACAAGTCTAATTTTTAAGGTTATGCAGTTGTGTATAATGTAATTAGACAGGTGCTTATTTTTTTCTTAAAATGTGCTTGAAAAGTGCTTATAGGTGCTTATTTTTTTAACTAAAATGTGGCTATGAACCCTGTTGAAGATTACTAAGAGATATTTTACATGTTATATAAGTTTATCAAGAATTTTAATTTTAATAAAGGTATGGAAAAGAAGACCAATGTTTTACAACCTGAAGAGAAAAGAACTGTTGCCTACCATGAAGCTGGCCATGCTGTAGCTGGCTGGTTTTTGGAACATGCTGATCCTCTTCTGAAAGTTTCTATAATACCAAGAGGTAAAGGTTTAGGATATGCACAGTATCTTCCCAAGGAACAGTATTTATATACAAAGGAACAGGTAATGATAAGCTTATCTCATATATTTTATTTTACATGCTTTTAATTTATATGCTGATAAATTGTAAAAGGAAGCATTTGTTTCATTTAGCTTTTTGATAGAATGTGCATGACATTAGGAGGGAGAGTTTCAGAACAAATATTTTTTGGAAAAATTACAACAGGAGCTCAAGATGATCTAAAGAAAGTTACACAAAGTGCATATGCACAGGTAAAGATTTTTTAATTCATAGTTTTATTGTCTTTTTTTACAGTTACTACTGTTTTTCATTTGATTCAGGTTGTGTATGTAATAAGAACACATCAAAGTCAATAGATTATGATAAGACCGGAAAGAGCATCTGCTCTCAGTTGTTAGCTCAGAGCTGAATTCAAAGTATTGGGACGTGTTAGCTTTCATTAGATGCGCTTTGCATTGTATTGTGTTTAACATTCTTAGAAATTTGAATTGTTATTATTGATTGTACTTTGTGATACTATGAAGTGTTGTACAAGTATTTTTCTGGAAAGTTCCAGAGTTGTGAAGCATTCCTTTTGGTAAAACAATTTTATCAAGTTACATCAATTCTGGTAACTTGATTCAATCTATTACGAACCTGTATGCACTCAAAAATAGTTTTTCAGAATTGGAAAGTGATAGTTATAGCTATTCTTATATGGAGTTATTTATTTGAGTGAAGCCAAAAATTATACAGGCTGGTTTTTTATGAAAGATATTTAATTTTTATTTTTATTGATATGTTGTGTTAAATCTGTGATTGGATATTTTTCGCTATATATCTATTTAAGGTAGGTCAGAAATTATATTGCTCCAGAATGGATTATTTTATAAAATTCTTAAGAAAAATGCAATGATAAAGTTTTAAAATTAATTCTGATAACTGCCTGAGTGTTCCTCTCATAATGTATGAATATTTAGAGCAGTTGAACCAGAAATTTAATTTATGCGAATTTTTTTCCAAAGTTAGGCATAGAAGTGTGAATTGCCTGTTTTTACCAGACAGTGCATCAAGTCAGTGCATCGTCCTGAGAGAGCGGTTCGGTGACTTGAGGTGCCTGCCGTGAACAGGTTAAAAATAATATGTACATTTTAATAATATTTCAACAGTTTTCAATTTTTTAAAAAGAAATGGATAGATGAGTTATCAAGCTTTTAAAATTGAAATATTTTTATGATTATTTTCTTTGCACGAATGTCAGTTTGTAAAATGATTCTGATAATGTCCCATCCTCCAGCTGATATATGAAAAAATACACAGATATATGAAAAAATTCCACATATCTGTGTTGCTATTGATTTTTTTTAAAAAGAAGCTTAGTGGTATATTTTGGTTTGAATATGTAATTCTTATTGTTGGAAAAACAATGTATTTTAATTTTAACAAATTTTGATTTAATTTCAGTAATTTTTATTTTTTAAACTTATTATTAACCTTTTAATTTAGTATGTGCTGTAATGTATGTTTCATTTAAAATATTCCAACCCATTCAGGTTGTTCAATTTGGTATGAATGAAAAAGTTGGTCACCTTTCTTTTGACCTGCCACAGCCTGGAGATGTTGTTATTGACAAACCATACAGTGAAGAAACAGCTCAGATTATTGATTTAGAAGTTCGTAATTTAGTATCAAAAGCCTATGATGCAACTATGAAACTGTTGCAAGAACGCAGGAAAGATGTAGAAAAGGTAGGTGTCATTTATTTAAATAGAGTTATTTGCTTTTATTTTCTTTTTTTCCTACAACATTTGTTTTGCATTAAATTACAAACATATAGTAATATTCTAAAGGAAAATTATGCTAAAAATCACTAGATGTGGGGGGAATGGAATTTATAAAGTAAAAATTTCACTAGTTCAGTGAATTAGTGAAATTGTGGGCAATTTTTTGTGAAATTGTAAGCAAAATTTATTTTTTTTGGGGGGGGAGAGCATCAGATGTAAAAATTGTCTTTTCTCCAGGAAATGGCCTGTTTAATTTGTATTATTATTATTTAAGAAGCGTAAATGTGACATTATATGTGAAACCAGTTCATAACTGCCAACTTTCTCAGTTTTTGACCATATCTTCTGCAGATAACTGAATCACCCAGTTTTTAATTTTTAGCCTTTACTAAGCAATGAATGAAATTCATTTAACTAGTGAAGTTTTACTTGTATAAATTACATCCCCCCTCTTCTAGTGATTTTTAGCATAATATTGTTAGATCTGAATTGTTTTAATTTACTTTAGAACTTCTTATGAACATTTCAACCATTGATTAATGTGTTAATATTTGTATTTAATTATTTTTTTCATTAATTACTTGCCTTCTCTAGTGGTATGAGAAAACTGCACTAGTACAATTTGGGCTTAAGAAAGTACAATTTCAAAATTAGGAAAACAACAACATTATTTTGGCTTAGATTTAGATAGAAGGAGAAATTTTCTGATATATGGCATTTATGAAGTAATGTGGAGGAGTGATAATAATTGAAGGTGATATAACCAGTTTTCTAGTGCAGTGATAATGACCAAAATTACCAATCAGCTAGCATACAGCAAAATTTGTAGTATGGTTTTAAATCCAGAAAATATCACTACAAATAGTGACAAATGTGACAGAGAGATTTTCGAGAATGAAAAGATTTCATTTGACAGTTTTGTGGAAATTTTCATATTGGCAATTACAGAACTTGAGGAGTGGACTTTGTAAGTAAAAATAATTTATGCCTCTTTCATAAAATTAAAGAGAAAATGGTACAAAAAGGGAAACAGTTCCCTTAGGAGAAATGTTTAATAAAACAGGCAAATAAATGTTGAGCTTTTTTATAAATTTCGATTTCCTTAAAATCATAAATGCTTCATTATGTTACGTTGCGAATTTTAATTATATTAATATGTGTTTTAAGTTATCGTTATTCTTGTATTTTTATTTGTACTCATGTGTATTTTAATCTGTAAAAAAAAAGTGTTCTTAAATTGTTAAAGCCTTATTTAACTGGTAGTTCTTGAAAGTGTAGTGCAGAGTTGCCAACTCTCCCGATTTAGGTGGGAGACTCCCGATTTTCAACAGCTCTCCCGCCAACCTGATTTACAATATATTTCTCACGATTTTTTCTTATTCTTAAAATTTCTCACGATTTTTATGGAACTTGGCTTAGTACTTCGTTATAAAAAAAAAAAAAAAAAGTAATTTTGGACGTCTGAAAGCAATTGAATTTTCTCTAGATTATATCTAAAACAAAACCTTGTGAATCAGATGAGAACTTCTGCTTTGTGAGTGAAAGCATATACATATCAAGAAACGTCATTCTCCAGTTCTCCAATGGGCATCGAGCTCCACTGCATGTTATCTGGTATATATTAGCATGGACCTCATAAGAGTCCTTTCTTATAAGGTCCATGTATATTAGCCAATAAGCACAAAGCAAGCTTAAGGCTGTTATTTGGATGTTCTTTAGTTATTTCATTTATCTTGTGCTGAGTTGTGTGCGTACATGTGCCTTCGGGAAATAGTTTTAGAAATTATCATCTTTTGTTATGTCTGCGAGAAAGGTGAAATAATCGTATATGTTTCAAAAATCGTACACATTCGACTTTCCTTCCATTACTTCCTCAAGGAAATGTAATAAATTTGCGGTGTGTACTGTCTGTCATTGCGATTTTTCGATTTCGCATGTTGGAAGGGTGGATGTTCTCAAACATGTGCGTACACAAAAACACAAGGACAACATAAATTGTTTTGAAAAAAAAAACGAAAAATTAAATTTTTCTTCAAAAACAAAGAACCAAAAAGTTATTAATGCAGAATGTCTGTTCTGTGCTTTTTTACTGGAGCACAACCTGCCACTGAATGCATTGGATCACGCTGCAGCTTTATTTAGAAAAATGTTTCCTGTCGCTAAGAAATACTCAAGTGCAAGGACCAAAACAGGTGCAGTTGTTTAAAAAATGGGTTTGAAAAATAAATCTTCAGTTACTGATTGCATTAAAACAACTTCGTTCTGCCTCTCTACGGATGGAAGCAATGATACCGATTCAGAACTGTATCCAATTGTTGTTTCTTTTTTTAATCTAGAGTCTTCAGAAATTGAGTGCTGTTTACTTTATGTCCCCAATTGAGAAGGACATTCGACAGGCTTTAATATAGCACAGCTAATTATTAAAACTTTAAAAGAAAATGCAGTCCCTCTGGATAATTGCTGATCACTTGGTGCCGATAATGCACCAGTAATGGTAGGCTTGAAGACTGATGTTGCAGGCATCTTAAGAAAGGAAAATTCAGATTTGCAGATTATGAGGTGCACCTGTCACCTCTTAAATTTAGCTGCTGAAAAAGGGCTAGCTTCTTTACCAATAAATGTTTTATAAACACATTTTTGATATTTATTATAATCTTGAAAGGAGTTCTAAAAGGAAGGAAAAATTGAAACAGTTCCAACAGCTGCATAATACTGAAATGAGAAACATTTTGAAACGTGTGTACATGCTGGCTGTCTTTAAAGAAATGCTTATCTAGAATCCTCGATCAATGGAACGCACTTCTTGCATTTTTTAAAGAAGAAGTAAATGCTTCGAGATTTAAGATAAAAGGCTCTATTGAAAGTTATAAAATACCTAAAGTAAATGGAGATGTAGTTGCTACTTCCATTGTTAAAAATAGGTTTGAAAAAAATAAAGTAATTTCTGCACAATTTACCAATTTAACTGGCATTCTCAAAATAATACTGCAAAATATAAGCGTAAAGCTGATACAAATTTCTCTCAAAATAAAAAAAATTGCTCAACACACGAAACATTTTCTGATTACTATATGTTTATCTTGTGAAGAACGAATATTTATGTTTTTTTCTTCGGACCTTAAAAAGCTTTTTGCTTTTTTTTACAATTCATTTTGCCATCATTCGATGTTCTTAACACAGTTCTACAAAGCAGAATTCCATTAATTCATGTTTTGCAATCAATGATTTATGATCTGTTTAAAGACATTTTATCAAAGTTTGTAAAACCAGTCTTTGTTTTGTCTTGTAATTCTATATATGATGTGATTTATGGTGAAATAGAAAATCAGAAGAAAGATGAAGATTTGATAATAGGAGCTGCAACTACAAAAGTAGAAGAACTTTCAGAAGAAGACAAAAATAAGTTTTATCTTTATGTTAGAAGTTACTTCTGTCGAGTATGTGATTACATACTACATAAATTTCCAGTCAACGATGAAGTGATTTTGCATGCTAAAGTTGCTGATGTTTCTGCTCTAGCAAATGCATCTTTTTTCTGATATAAGATACTTTTTGAACAGATTTCCTGTGTTACTTCATTTAGTCATGAAAGATGATGATATTGATGTTGCCACTGATAATATTGCAGTCGTAATTTTGTAGTTTACAATTAAAAAACTGGATGAAGTTATAAAATCAGCTAGGATTCCAGTGGAGTTTAATTGGAAAACTGAAAGGTGCTGATGGAATTTTAGAATATCTTGAACTGTCTAGAATTATGTTGGCCATTTTAACAGTTCCCCATAGTAATGCAGAATGTGAGAGGATCTTCAGTGCTGTTGCGAAAATGAAGACTAAATTTAGATCTAATATTAGTGATCACACATCAGAAAAACTTTTATTAGCTAAAGCAGACCTACGTGGCAATTGCTATGAACAGAATTATGAAGTTTCTTTCTTAATGAAAGCAAAATCTGCCACTGTTCATAACATTTGTACGAAAACTGATTAAAGTGTGGTTCTCCCCCCCTCCTTAAACGATGCAAGTACTAAAAATGTTTTTTATGTGTAAGGTATTTTTGTGTTGCTTGCATTTAAGAATTAGTAACTATTTGAAGTTAATTCATTATTAAAAACTACATTTTTATCATTTAAAAAGTCTTTTTAACATTGTGAAAAATCTCCTGATTTCTTAAAAAAATCTCCTGATTTTTGAGTGTCATAGGTTGGCAAGTATGGTAGTGTAATAAAGACAGGAAACGGTTGCAAGAGCCACCTGGTTTATTGGTTTATGGCCTTTTACTATCAGTGGAAGCAGTAGGGTGTTGTGTTGTCGCCTTTTACTAATGGCGCTTGTAACAAAAATTGTCTTGCTTTCGCTTTGTTATAGTTGCAATTTGCTTACTTCAGACAGTGGAGGTGTTGTGAACTTAGGTAATTGGATTCTCGTAAAGCTTAGTTTCTGCTTGTTAGTTGGGGGGTCCACTTTAGTTCACACATTTTTTTCTGAGTACAGATGTTGGCTTCATTATCAGATTTTCTTGTTTTTGATTCGTTGTGGGGTGTAATTTTCTCAAGTAAAATTCTGGCATTGGTGTGATTTTAATTTTATGATATTTTGTAAGCAAATGAAATTTTTCAGGGGGCTGAAAGGAGAGTTTACTTCAGTGCTTGCACGAGGCTAGAGTTGATTCTGATTCTGATTTTCAAGCTAAGAGGAAGAGGAGAAAAGAGAGAGGTCACTTGATCAAGATCACTCAAGATCACTTGAGGGTCTTGCTCTCGCGAGTGCCGGCTATTGAGCCAGATTTGGAAACAGATTTGAGTTGCGAAGATGTAAAGCAGAAAAGAGATTCAGTGGGGCTTGTCCTCCTGCGGGGGGCTTGCGCCTGTGGTCTGAGGTGAGGTTTCTCGTGGCTTTCCGCTGATGAGAATTTGTTCGAACGGAGAAAGCGCTCTATGCAAAATTTAATTTCACCGTTTCA